ACTATAGTATATAATATACTTATAGAACTAAAAAGAAAGTAGCTCCTTTAGATAATATAAGGTAACAAAAGCTAATTAAGAAGTATAAGTTAGCTTAAAAGGTACCTAAAAGAGGGCAATTAGTAGCCGCTTAGATTAATAGCTTTAAATTAGCGTATAACAACTGTCTAGTACTTAATATAGCTAAAGTTCTAAGTACTAGGCTAATCTACGACTTTATAGCCGCTATAAAGGGTATAGATCTAGTGTTTACCTAGATAGTAGAACACTAGCTTTTTAGAGAAAAGAAACTTAAATTTAAAGACGTACTTAATAAGTTTAAGCTTAAACTTAAGAGTAAAAGGTAACTAAAGGTAAAAAAGAGATATTACGTAGCGTTCTCTACCCTTTAAGGGCAAAGCTTAGACAAAGAGGGTAAACAGCCCTTTAAGTACCTATATAGTAAGAGGCACTAGTTTAAGGACTACTATTACTTAATCCCTAGTAAAAGGCTAGTAAGATAAGTACTAAACAAGAAGATCTAAAAAGAGATTAGTACAAAACTTAAGTCTAACGCCTCTATTAAGAAGAGGGTAGAGGTACTCTAAAAAGAGGATTAAAACACGTCTAAATTAGGTAATTTAAACCTAAATACAAAAATAACTATAGTATTATTATTATTATTATTCTTACTACTTATGCCTAATGTATACAGAACCTTTATACTATATAAATTACGTAATAAAACTATACTAAAGCCGGGTAAAAACCTACGTACTACCTCTTGTAAATACTTTATTATAGCGCTATTAGAGCGCTAAGACCTTATTACTACCTTACTAGAACTTAACCTTCTAGCCTAGTAATACTAAATATACTAATAAGACGCTAGTAAGACGCTAGAAGGACACTAGCCGTTAACTAGGATTACTCTTTCTCTTCTTTAGCTAGGTAGCGCTTAGCTAGCCTAAACTATAAGAACTAGCTAGTAGATAGTAGCTAGTAGATTAGTATATACGCGCTCTTTTCTCTCTTTATTACTACTATAAAGTTATAGAACGTCTATAGTACCTTTAGGTAAAGTACTTACTATAAGGCCTACTACTATTAGTTAAGCTACTAGTAGTTAAGAACTAGGTAAGCTACTGTCTTTAAGGCCTTACTATAAGGGCACTAGAGAGTTACTACCTCTAGTACTCTACGTTTAAAAAAGAAGGCCTAGAGCCTAACCTTACTAGTATAGATCTATATTAAAAGTAAGCTCTTATACTTATAAAAGAGTAAGTACTTCTTAAGAGTATCTACTAAAAGGACAGGTAGTATAGCTAAGGTAGTACCCTAGTAGTATACTAGTAAACTATTATATTAGGTCTATTATATCTTCTAGTTCTCTTATAAGGTCTCTTCTAGTAAGAAGTCCTTATACTAGTCCTTTACTTATATAGCTTAGCCTGTCTTATACTTAAGTAACGTATAAGGTAGTACTATAATAGCGTTATAGTAGCGTCTCTAGCGTTATTAAAGGCAGGTCGCTACCTTATTATAGATAGACTATATAAGTTTACCTTTACTTATACGTTTAAGACGTTATTTAAAGTCTACTACTTACTTGTTAAGGTAAAGGTTAAGTAGAGGTATAGCTATTTTAGACTTAAGAAACTAAATAAGAGTCGCCTAGTATACCCTTATAATAACGTAAAAGTACTATAACTACTTTATAGTAAGGTCTTTTATAATCTCCTTAGCTTGTTACTTAGAGAGGCAGTACTAGACCCTTACACTATATACTATAGCGCTCTAGATTACTTTTATATAAATCTCTCTTACGTATAGTAGGCTATATCTTTACGTAAATATAGTAAGCCTTATAAGTATAAACTACTAGGTAGTAAACTTTTGTTTAATAGCGTTAAGGTAGCCCTTTTACTTAAGCTTCTAACCTATCTAAACTCTTAAAAAGTAGGCTTCTTAGACTAGAGGTATAACCTGGCTGTTAAGGTAGACAGACGTCGTTAGTATAGTATAAGTATAAGTAAAGTAAAGAAGCTTACTCTTTTTAGAGGTAAACTCTATTCCTTTTGTTTATACCTACTAGCTACAGGTCTACTATACCCTTTTAAAGTACTAGTATATCTCTATTATATCTCTACTAAATACTAAAAGGTTAAGGTCGTTAGTAAACCTTACTATAATAAGGCCTGTATATCTTTATAGTAGTGTATACAAGCTAGTAGTATAGAGAAAAAAGAGAATAAGAGAAAAGGACAAGCCTTATAGTACCTTTATAGTAACTTCTTAGG